ATAGTTATTAAATTATAAGAAAATGTCAAACTGTAGATTGCCCCGTCTAATTTTGCACCAGCGGTAGCAGCAACTTCAATGCAAAAATATTACGGATGCTGCAAAAAAGGCGTTAGTGAATCTTTTGGAGTAACGCATTGTTCAAAATTTCTTACTGTTTTGGAAAATTTTTATTCCTCATGGAAGTTTAGGCAATATAAAAGTGGACATAAACTGTTATGCCTGTCATGAAATAGTGGTTTATATACACATGTGTTAAGTTGTCACAGAAGTAGTCGCAAATTTAAACATCGTTCGCCTCCAAATTGACATTTTTATTCAAATTAAGCATCATTCCAATGTTGCAAACAATGCGGCAAAGAATTTATGTTGTCATCATAGAAACTGATGTCACGAGAGTTGATGAACTGTTGGAGGGAGCTTTTGATATCATCCACACTCTTGAACATTGAGCACCCAAAAAAGTGGTAGTCATTGGGCCAAAGGTTCGGTGAATAAGATAGATGAGATAAGACCTCGACACATATTTTTGCCAGGTGATTTGTGCAGCATGAGGCGTCGTGTTATCTTGAAGCAGAATTAACCCCTTTCCATTAATTAACCCCTTTCCATCATCACTCCCAGTTTATGACTGAACACTCTGCAGTAATGATCTGACCTGGTTGCAACCAAATGTGATGCAATAATCTGTCACAACATCCCAAACAGATAGGAAGATCTTTTTTGGCTTTGGTAAGGTTACAGGAAGGGCACGTTGGCCGACTCAAAATGGCTACATTTTCTGCTGTCATACACAAACCATTTCTAATTTTAAGTCGTTGTACATCCCAGAAATAGTAAATTACTCAAGTGAAACATGTGATGAAAGGGTTGTTTGTTTTTGTCGTCATCCATATCATGCAGCACATTCTACTTCGGCACCTTCATGACCTTGCGAATCTCAGCCAAGTTTTGTAGCATTGCGTCACGCCATACCTCCTTCCCTCCCAATGATGATCGAATGCATGCTTCTGGATTCAGCTCTATGGCTGTTTTAATGCCTTGTTATTTAAGAATGATCTACGCCTGCGACGCAGTTGCATACTCAAATTCAAAATCTCAAGAAGCGAATTTTTTGAATCAACACTGCAATGTTTTTTGTGTAGCTGATCTTTGACTTCGAGCACCGTTTACGTTCTGTATTGTTTTTATAACGTGTTCACCTAATTTAAAGTTTAAAAATCAGAATGCACCGTTAAACATTCTCCCTTTTTTAAGCTTAAACGGTTGCTATAGTGTAGATGTTATTACAACCATGAGAAAGAGGGATTTGCATTCTCCAAAATAGTATCCAGCTCATTGCGGAACAAAGCCGGACAGCTCCCCAAATTGATATATCTCTAAACCCGTCACTACTTTCGTAACAACCTCAAACATAGATACTCAAGTTGCGAAAGGGGCAAAAAAATCTTATACATTGAATATTTGTCTATTCGACTAGACATCAAATTCATTTTCAACTTATTGCGAGTTTATGTCTCTCTGCTACAAATATTGCCGTAAATATCACATCGTTCTTTCCGTAACATATTTCTCTCCACTAGCTAACGATATCTGCGCAGTCAATCATACATCTTCATGAAAGTCTAATCCCGTATTGATTACACCATCAGACGGATGTAGAAACTATTCGCTGTTACTGTCGACCTATTTCTAGAGAAGGGGACTGGGAAGGAGCCCAAAAATGTACTCCGATTGTTTCAGTGGATATACTTTCGTCAATCGCCCAAAGTAACTTTTGAAAACAAATCGATCGTCATAAAACAGCAATGTTTCTGAATCAGTAATGAATAACAGTTTTATTTGTTGTATCCGAATAAATGCATAGCAGTGGCCAAATTAACCATTGCACAGCGATGCAGCAATCGTTATTCGTTGCTATAAACGATTAAACACAGACAATATGAGCAAGTAATCGTACAAACATTAAACATTGTGCAGATCTGCAAAACAGCTCAAGTCGTCAATAAAAAAACTAAAAAACAACAATCAGCATCAATAAAATAAAAACAACAACATTGGTTTTATTTTAATTACATCTCTCCCTTATCAGTTTTATCCTAACTTATTGTCTCCTATATCGTATCACTTTCACAGTAACTCACGCCCCCAATAATCAAATACCTCAACAATAATTATTGGAAACATCATCCGTATGGAACGAAGTGAGAATTTTTGAACTGTTTGATGAGTAGACGGATTTATTAATTGTAATGATTTTTCGGGTAATGAATTCAAACTTCTGATATCGAAATAACTCAAAATCAGTTGTTCAATAACTCAGTTGATATGAGCGCAAAATCATGAGTTTTCAAATAAATGACAGGTTGGAAACTTAAGAAACCATTTTTCATAACAAGTTTTTCGATCTCTATGATTATAACCTTTAAAAAATGCCATTTGCCATCGTATATTTCCCCTCAACAATATTTGATTCTTTTTTAAATGACAGATGAATCAAAACTTTCATATTGGGCATTCTAAATTCAGCTACTTCAAGAATTTAAACAGCAGATCGCTTTAATCGAACAGAATTTGAGCCAAACACCTTATACTCACATTTCAAGTCGGAATTTTCTTAATATTTACATTAATGTTCAGTTCATGTTGCTGGTGCAATTTGCAGCCATTTTACTACTATATGAATAACAGATCGTTATGCGTTTGATCAGTAAGGTTTTCGTTCGGGCGAAATTTTATCCATGTAGACCAACTGCGTCAATAGTGATTGTCCGTTTAATTTTTTAACAGAAGTTTACGATCAGCCTTGAATTTTGATTGGATTTTATCTTGGGTTTATGGAATGAGATCAATTTCGTTGTCAGTTTTTTCAGTCTCATCAAATTTTCCGAATTTTCAATATTCATGTAGTCGAATTTGTTGAAGTCTCATTCACTAATGTTGATTTTAGAAATTCGCAGCCTAAACTTCATAATCAGTGTAAAAAACTTATTGCCAAAAGTTTGGATTTACTTCATGGGTTGATTCATGTCAATTTTATTGATTATGGTTCTTTGAATTTGTATTGAGAAATTGTTATCTTTAATTCATTTGATTCAACAACTTTTGGAATGAACAAATAAACAATGAAATGAAGGAAGGAGTAACAAATGTGTTTGATGGAATGAACGAAATTGCTTCAGGAATTGCAGTCGGTGACAAAAGAGTTGGCTCAGTTGCGTGAGCAGTTGCTGGAAAAGGATGAGGAGATAGTGGAGTTGAAGGCAGAACGTAACAATACGAGGCTTTTGTTAGAGCATTTGGAATGTCTCGTTTCGAGACACGAAAGATCTTTAAGAATGACTGTTATGAAACGTCAAGCACAAAGTCCGGCAGGTGTTTCGTCCGAGGTGGAGGTGTTGAAGGCTTTGAAATCGCTCTTCGAGCATCATAAAGCTCTCGATGAAAAGGTTGTGAACGCCTCACTTCTTCTGTATAGCATTCCAGTTATTTTTATTGTTGTTGTACTTCAGTCCAATTATTTCATTCGTTGAGTATGGGTATCTTTTAAGGTGACTGAATTTTTTTTTCGTTTACGATCACCATTTAAGGTACGTGAAAGACTGCGAGTTGCAATGGAGCGTGTTGCCACGCTTGAAGAGGAACTGAATGCGAAAGGAGATGAAAATTCAACGTTGAAAGCAAAAATTGCCAAGTTAAGCGCAGAAGCTGAGGAAGCTTCTCAACAAGTACCGTCTTATTATTGCTATCATTACAGTTATGAATTTGATCATCATGTTTGTGATCTGGTAGAGTTGAATATAAAAGTGAATAATGAACAAATTAAAGCTGTCAACAATCAATGGTGCGGGTAAAAGGCAAACGAATGGTGGTCTAATGTGTGCAGATACTGCAGCACGTTTAGTTGAGGTTCAAGAGGCATGCGAGCGTTTAAAACAGGAGTTAGCAAATAGTATGAAACAATGTGGTGAATTAACAACGAGGTGATTTGATTGGATTAAGTTCAAAACGAAATTCATTTAACTCTTTTTACGCTCTCGTTTTTTCATGTTTCTATTCGATTATTCAAGTCAGTGTATTTATTCATAAGTTGTTATAAAAGTTAATTTTGAATTAAGGAACACAGAGTTGGAAGGCCAATTATCAAACGCTCAAAAAGAGTCACATCTTGGTCAGGAGCATCTCACTAAATTACAGCATCATTTACATGAGGTTTGTTGTTTGCTGAATATGCACAGAGGAAAGAAGTTTGGTAAAATTCGGTATTCGTTTAGTCATTTCTGCGTGGATGCAAATCAAAATTATTGAATTGTAGTCATTGCATTGTAAGGATTATTATTATAATTTTGTAGTTAGTGTTGTTTTCATGATTTTACTATGGATATATACAATCTTATTTGCCAAGTGATCAATTGAAGGCTCAAGCTCAAAAGGAAGATCAAGAAGCGAGAATATCAACGTTGGAGAGCCGCTATCTTTCTGCGCAACGAGAAGCAACATGTTTAAGGGATCTGAACGATAAATTGGAACATCAGGTTGATCTCTGAATTCATTCGTTTGGTTTCGATTATATTTGTTTTATTAATAGATGAATTTTAATGGAATTCAGTTCAGTTCTATTTTTGTTTTGCAGTTTGTATTAACTTGTTGTACAACGTTCATTTCACATGTTTTTTTTTTCACATACATCTCTATCTATCAGTTGATAATCACAGTAATTTACTGTTTGTTTGCAGCTCGCGAATAAGGATGCGGCGGTACGATTAAACGAAGAGAAGGTGCATAGTCTACAAGAGCGTTTGGAATTGGCTGAAAAGCAACTGGCACAAAGCCTCAAAAAGGCCGAATCGTTACCTTCTGTTGAGGCCGAATTGCAACAACGAATGGAGGCTTTAACCGCCGCAGAGCAGGTTAAGCTTGCTCCATACAAACTAGTTTTCTAAAACGAACATAACTTCATATCATACATCTGCAATATTCTGTAAATATTTGCGAATCATCGGCTGGTTAATTGATTGATGGTTGTTGTTCATTTGTTTCATTTATGGGCTTGTAGATGGAAGATGTGATTGGTGTTGAATTGATGTTGAATAAATTTAAGAAGCAAGTCTCGGCCGAGGAACAAGTGCAACGTTTACAACGACAATTGGAAGAACGTTCAGCAGAGTTGGAACGTGCAATGCAACGCGAGAAGATGAACGAAGAGCACAATCAGCGATTATCGTCAACGGTGGATAAATTGTTATCGGAATCGAACGATCGTTTGCAGTTGCATCTGAAGGAACGTATGCAAGCTTTAGATGAGAAGAACCGTTTAACGCAACAATTGGAAAATAACAAAAAGATTTCTGATCAGGTATTATTCATCATTCATTCATTGATGGTTTCGAATGATTTTTGTAATTAAAGACCGAAAGGACGAAAGAACGTTTGAATCGCGATAACGAAAGTCTTCGTCAAGAGATTGATGTTCTTCGCAATCAACTCTATTCAGCACGAACGGCCCAATATCATACAAGGTAGGTGATCATAATCTATTCCACTCATCGTCTATCCGTTATAAACAAAAAATTGCAGGTTGCATAGCATCGGTGGGTTTGTGCCATCTTCATCAATATTGGCACCGCCGTCTGTGACCGTCGGTAATGGAGCAACGGCACCACCGCCAACGCAGCCAACTGCTGCAGCACCTCCTCCAGCAGTTTCGGTTTATGCGGCTGGTTTAAGAAGGCCACAAAAGGGTCGTCTCCAGGCCCTTCAAGAAGATCCATCGAAAGTGCAAACACTTAACGAGCAAGAGTGGGATCGTTTGCAACAAGCGCATGTCCTTGCGAATGTGCAGCAGGTGTGCTTTTCATCTGTTACTGCTCCTTTGTTGTTAACATTATTATCATCATCTTTGAATCATGATAACAGCCATATTGAATGAAGGTTGATCATAATGATAGCTAAAAGAAAAGCATAATAGTGATAAAAACAACAAAAATTGAAGGCATTTTCGAGTTCGTCATCAATGATGGACATAACGAATGCAGCAACGACGATGCGTGGTGCTCAGGGTGCGGTATCACAGAATGTGGTCGTTTCAGGTGCGGCAGCACCTGCAGCTGCAGATATGCTTCTAGGCGCAAATGGTGGTGGTGTATCCCAGCCAGGACCAGCATCAGCAGCCAATGCGACCGCCACGGATCCGCATACATTAGCAAGTATGCTTCAAGAAAGACTGGACGCGATCAACTCACAGATTCGCTTGATTCAACAAGAGAAGACGCACGCTGAACGTGTTGCTGAACAGTTGGAGAATCGTGTGGCACGAGCTGTTGACGGTGCTGCTCCTTCAACTGCTCCCAGTAATCTTCTTTACGCTCTTGACGATTACCCGCAAAATATATCAGCTCGTTCAACGCCAAGAAATTCACCTCAACATGACTTCCTCGTTACCAAATACAATACGGTATATCTATTATTATTATCATTTGATCATTATTATTATTCAAATTAGCATTGTTATTAATATTCTTGTCATTATTATCGTTTTATTATTATTATTATTATTATTATTATTATTATTATTATTATTATTATTATTATTATTATTATTAATACTCTTATTAGTAGTATTATTTTAATCGTTAATATTCTTAACTGAATCTTCGTTATTTGTGATTACTAATGTCGTCACTATTTGTAATTGATGTTTATTTAAGTTACCTGCAAACGCATCAACCTCACATCTGCATGGCCAAGCAGTGCTTGATGCTTATGGACAACCGGTAAGAGAGTTCGATCTTATTCACGTTTGATTTTATTTATTCTGAGTTAATCGAAGGTATAAATCTTATCAAATCAGTATGAGGTTACAGAATAACGTTTTGTTATTGTAGTTCTTGGACGACACTATGCTTGAAAGCGAATATAATATGGCAAGACGATCATTGCGACTTGACAATATGCAACGTCAGATACATGTGAGTTGTTGCTGGTGCTATTTTTGCGTGCAGAATTTCATGAAGAGTGACTTAATAATAGTAATGATATTCAGAACCGCATGGATGAAGAGATGGGTCATTCGCTGAACGAACGCCAATCACCGGTTTCATCAATAGGTTCATCATCGTGTCAAGATCAGCAATCACCGTCGTCTGCAACTGCAGTAACCGCAATGTATAGTGGAATCATGAATAAGAGTAGCACTAAAAAGCGATCGACAAGTACGAGTGGCTTAAAGACACTTGGTCGGTTCTTCAATAAGAAGGGCAAATCGACTGCACATCAACATCAACACTTCCGAATGAACCAAGATCAAGGCAATTAAGATTATTATTTATTGTTCTTGTCAACAATATTACTGTCGTTGTTGTTCGTAATTGATCTGTATGTTTGGTTGTTGCTGCTTTATTTTCTGAGCCTTAATTGATTGACTGAGGCTGATTTACATAAAACAGATTGATTTTTACTTATAGGTGCTTATTCGGATAGTGAGATGTCATCGGGTGGTGAAGGATTGACAGGCGTGGGTGGTGCTTTGAGCGGATCGATGATGAGCGGTTTAGCAGTGCCCAAAAAGACAGGTGCTATGGCGAGCAGTACACTTGGAATGGTGCAGATGAACGCAACAACCACTATGAATGGCGTTGCTAATACTTCATCACAGTTGTCATCGCATAGTGCCGCAGCTGATTTCGATCGACGCAAGAAGAAGAAATATGAATTACTCGAAGAGGTAAGTTACTGTTGATTACTGTTATTGTTGTTGCACCATGTTCGTTGTAGGCGATGAAGGCGAGGACGCCGTTCGCGTTATGGAATGGACCAACAGTAGTGGCATGGCTCGAGCTATGGGTTGGTATGCCGGCGTGGTACGTGGCTGCTTGTCGAGCGAATGTTAAGAGTGGTGCTATCATGAGCGCTTTATCCGATCAAGAGATCCAACGAGAAATCGGTATCAGCAACCCACTGCATCGTCTCAAGTTACGACTCGCCATTCAGGTGATCGAGAAATTATTGATTGATTTATCCTGTTTGGCAGTGACGTTCATATAATATCACTCGATATGATTATGTGTGGATTGGTTGAACTGAATGAATATAAGTGATTTGTTAGGAAATGGTATCGTTGACATCTCCATCAGCACCACGAACTGCACGAACCACACTAGCATTTGGGGATATGAATCACGAATGGATCGGTAATGAATGGTTGCCGTCGTTAGGATTAGGTCAGTATCGATCAGCGTTCATGGAATGTCTTTTGGATGCGCGTATGCTGGAGCATCTCTCGAAGCGTGATCTTCGAACGCATCTCAAAATGGTTGATAATTTTCATCGGTTAGTCTCTGTTTCATTGCTTTATTGTGAATAATCAACCTTATTATTAATACCATATCATTGTGTAATCAATGAAGTAATGATATAAATGAATTGTTTTCAGCGCGAGTTTGCAGTATGGCGTTATTTGTTTGAAGAAATTGAACTATGACAAGAAAGTTTTGCAAGAAAGGCGTCGCGCATGTGAGACTGTCAATCGAGGTAGGTGGCTTACAGAAAGGTTGCCTATTTATGATGTGATGTCACAACTATGTTTAGTTTGATAATAAGATTTGTAGATGTATTGGTATGGTCGTGTGAACGTGTTGCTAGATGGGTGGAAGAGATCGGATTAGGTACGTATGCATCGCAACTTCATGATTCGGGTGTTCATGGTGCATTGATTGCTTTGGATGACACGTTCGATGCGCAGTCGTTAGCGTTATCACTGCAAATGCCACCGCAAGATACACATTCTAGACAGGTGCTTGAAAGACACTTCAATGCACTTGTCGCAGAGTATCGTAGCTCAGGCGCAGCCTCAGGGGGTGCGGGTTCTGGCGGTGGTGGAACTGGTGCTATGTCGGGCTGTGCAGCTGGAGGAGGTGGTGGTGGTGGAGGAGGAGGTTGTAACATTGCTCACGTTACTGCGGCCACTTCTAATTGACAAGCTGCGACGCTCAATTCTACAAATAACAGTTGATTGATGGATCGGTAGATTGTTTCATTGGTTAATTGATTGACTGATTATCCGTAGTTTTTAATTATAATTGCTGACTTATTTATGAAGCAATTCACTCTTATTGCTCTGTGTCTGTGTATTAACTGTTCTTTGAAAAATTTGTTCATTCGAAAAATTGCGTTCATTCGCGTGTGATTTTGCTTTGCAGTCACCATTATTTCTTCATTTTTGAATTGTTTGTCTCCAACAAATCCTGATTTTGATATAGTACTATCAGTAGTGCTGCACTTGCTCATAGTAATGGATTATTCCGAAAGTTTTAAAAATTTTTCTCATCGCAATCAAATTTCCACTGTTCTATTATAAGGCATCTATTTGCCACAAAAATTCCGTGAAGATTAGCCTGCGATGCTTGTTAACTCTAAACTGCGCAGCTTTTTATTCTTGTTACCAAAATGCTGATCCGTTGTTGATTGTAACTGACTCATTTTTCGGACTCGTGACCGCCAATGTTTTCTTTTAGAATATGAGAAACGAATACTAGACACAGTGCTGGCGCAGGTCTACAGAACATCATCAACGGGTGGCTCCATTGAATTTGCATTCATGATTAATTCAATAACCGAGTAACAATGTGAGCAGTCGTAATGTCAAGAGATTTCTCTTGAAAAATACACCTAGCAGTAGTGCTCAGTTTTCTGTGTCATTTCTATTTGATGTGCAGTCAGGTGAACTAGGTAGTAGTTGTTGGGTATAACGGAGAATAACAACAGTCGTTAGATAATATGAGAATTGCCGAATATTCTTACGCACTTCCCCGGAAATTTTCTTAGTAATCCTGCCGATCGAGCTTGCGTGGTGCAGTTTGGTTCTCCGTGGATTTGCGCTTTAATTCTATGGCAATGATATTTGTAATTTTATTTTGATAATTTTTACTATTTTTATGCTCCCTGTTCGGCAGCAGCAGTGGGCAGTGTTAGCTTCGCCGTTATCATTATCATCGTTTACTTTCGTTGACCAAAAACTTCTTCAATGAACCAACATTTCCCTGTCTTCTCATATAGTATCTCTGCCGTAAAGTTTCAACTGTTGCATTTCATTTGTTTGTTATGTTTCGTTGTGTTTCACTGAACTTTAGCATTATTCATTGATTTGAATTTACTGATAGAGAGTGCGATGAGGATTAATTGAATCATTTATCTTCGTGAAAGGAAGTGAAGCTGATGGTGAATGAGGATTGGAAGTTAACGTTGTGGGATGTTGAAGATCGCGATTTGTTTGTAAGTTGTTGAAGATCGGAAAGAAGAAGCCACACAATTGTTGAGTATCAGCATTCTTTTGATAGTGGTAATGATGATAATAAGGACACTGGTTATATCATAGTTGTAGAAAAGGATGAAGTTTTAATTATTGTTCGTTTGAAACTTTCTTAGGAGTGACTTGTTGAAAGATTATTCAAAGCAAGGCGAAATGAAGTAAGCGTAAGCAGAATTATTTCATTAACAGCAAAATAATAATTTCACTCATTAATTCAGGTTCAGTTTGTTTTATGATTTCATTTCATTTTATTTTATTACTCCAATCAGTCAATCACTTCTTTCTGTTGATATTGCTCTTGATATAGTTGTTTTCATAAACGGTGCAATATGGCTTCAACTTGTCTCATCTGCACATCTACTAGCACAGTATATAGTATTGTTTTAAATCTAGTCATAACTAATTTTGAATCGAATATAACAGTAAAAAGACAAGTGGCTTGCGGCTGGTTTATTGAATGATGCTAATAATGATAGTGATAGTAATGGCTATAACGATAATAACGCAACAGCTTAATCCAATTTTTTGATTTCGATTTACTTTGAAGTAACTTTGATGATATTTATCTGACTTCATTGGAGATTTCTTTTGTACTTGGCATCTCTTCGTTTGGTATGTTAATTGTTGCTATTATAATTATTATCACTATTATTATTCTTCTTATTATAATTACTGTTAATAGTTGCATTGATAATGATACTGGAAGCGATATTGTTGTTATTGTTGACGTTATTATATGGTATTCACTGTTCTTCCTGTTAAATTTTGATTGCTATTTATTGTTTGTGCTGCTGCGTAATAATTATAAGATATCGATTTGATTAGTACTGATGTTGTTATTACAACTGTTCATTATTGTTGTTGTTGTTGTGATTATCGTTATTATTTCTATATGGTGCCTAAATAACAGATTTGTTTGTCTTTTTATGTGACACTACATCTATAATGATGCATCATCCTACGTGGATATTTATTTATTTACTTATTTACTCATTTGTTTGTTTGTGTTTATTCATCGAATTGTTTCAACTCTCAATCGCTTATACATACATACATGCATTCGTATTAGTTGTACGAATATTTTGAATTTTTGGTTGTTTCGTTTTATAATTCGTTTGAAGAGTCATTATCTACATAATTCAATTCCATATAAAGATGGTGTTCAAAAATTTGCATTGACTGGATTGAATAAAAATACTGCATTAAATGAATTGGAGCGTTTGAGGAGGGGCAAGATGTATGATATGAAAAGTCGACTTCCAATTTACTCGGAAATGTTTTGGAGCATTCGTTCGTTTTCAAGCAACAAAACCAATTCATCAATGGTTCATCGATCTTCTTTTCGACCAAACGGATGTAATATCTACTAAGCATGTAACATCAGCACCAAACCAGTGGTGGTATTTACAAGCCAATATCAATAGCACATCGATAACTGCCGTCCAAGTTTGCTTTGTTCGCTGGAACATTTTGTTTTAACGAATGCTTGCGCATCATTGCGAAAGTTATCGTTTATAATTAGGTATCGTTCGGTAAAAGGTTTCAGTGCTTGTTTGTTTTTTGAAGTGAACGCTGAAAATTTTTTCTTTTTGGTAATGATCGTTTAATAGATTGTTTGGTTGATATTTAGCGAATGTTCACTGGTTGTGGTGCAATAGTGTGTTGGTGAATGGTGATGATATAAAACGAGATAGATATTGCTCGAAAAGATCAAGACTGATACACGAAGAGAGTATCGTAGTTTTGAAGCACTGAAGTGAATATATAGATGTGCTTTGATAATAAAGGCTTTCAAAAACGTATTTCCCGCAGTGCATTCAACTTCTGATAAAAAACGGAAGCGAAAGGTCACATTTTAGATAGCATGCGACTTCTCCTGGCGATATTATTATAGTGCATTCTTGTCATTATCACTATCACTATAATAAAAGTAATTATTATCATCGTTGCTGTTATTACATTATTGTTATTATTATTATTATTATTATTACTGTTATTATTATTAGTATTATTAATTATCATTATTATTATTCAGAGATGGGCACGTTATGGAAAAGCGATAGCGCTTTATCACTACTCCGCTATCGAAAAAATGTCCGCTGAAAAAAGGCCTATCGCTATTATAAAGGCTGCGATAGCCCCAAGCAATAGTTAAGAGCTGTCGCTTTCGCTATCGCTGCTCGCTACTTTTGAACCTTCGCTCGAAATATGCAATAGCACCGCTTATTTACGTGGGAAAAACCTCATCATGCCACTAAACGATTGGAAATTTTAAAAAAAGAATAATGATAAAATTTCCATTATTTAGCAATAATAATGATAGAATTTCGAAATGATGAAATTTTTCCTTTCAACAACATCATGGCAGAATTTCCGTTGATAGTTTCCGTTATTTGAAGGATTCAATGTCGAACCAAATAATCCGTAACGACGCATGTCATAAATCACGAAATTCAAAAGCGCCCTGTCCACGTTGCTTTGGCTAAAGCCTGGTCCGTAAGCTGAGCGAAACGATTCATCGATTGTTATTTGACGCTCATTTCTCGAATTACTTTGACACTTTACCACACTCCTAAATTTTGGTGCAGTGTAGCAGCATAAATGCTGCAGTGTTGTACAACAACTTACTGCAGTGTTGCATTATAAATATATATTTACATATTTCAATGATTGAAAAAAATATAAATTCATTTGCAGATGAGCTGATAGTGGATAGCGGAAGTAGTCCGCTATCCAAGGACAGCAGCGGCGATATCGCTATCAGATTCCGATTTCCAAAATGACTTTCTCTGCTCCGCTATTCCGATACTAGCGAGACAGCGCGCTGTTGCCCATATTATTATCATTCTTAATGTTATCACTGTCATTGTTATGAGGTAATTAATATTAATAACAGTATTGATTTTAATAATTCCTTTAACGCAAATTATATATGCAAATATGATGACTGATATTGTCATTATTGCTAGCATTACCATTTTATTGTCGTTGAGTTAACTTTTATGACTGAGTTGAGACAGATAGCAAATAACGATTGGTTTGACTGGTGTTCAGTAATGATTTCATTTATGTGTTATTCAATCTTTTTTTAGTTGTTTTTGTTGAATACTAATATCAACAGCAGTATCAGCAACAATACCTGTTGCATATTACAACGATTGAATTTCTTCAAATATTATTCATGAATATACTTGCATACGAACAGAACTCTCACATGTGATGTAATCAATTTTCATATCATTTATTTCTAAATACCTGTATCGTTCTTCCCTGTTACAAACTCATACAACACATACATACACTCATACAGAAGCACACAATATAAACATTTTCAAATTTGTTTAGTAATATGCATTACGTCCATACAAATTCGTTTCTTCAATATGAAAGTATGTTTTCTTCCATTTTGATGAATGTTTCTTTTTGAAGTTGTTTCACATCGAAATTCTATGGGATGATCGACCGAGCAACTGAATGTCTTCTAAAATGCTCGCTTTTTGCTTCAGTTCGGGTTTAAGACGCAGTCATCAATCTACCAATTCACTGATTGAATAATAAATTGATTGATTGATTGATTGAGTGCTCGTTTGCCTGTTTGTTTGATGGATTCAATTTTTAGATATTACGTGAAAGAAAATCTGATTTGCTGAATTCATTATTCATAAGCATATTATTTGAATTATGAACGTAGATGAATACAAAATACTCTCCATAGATTGCGATGTCGTACAATACAGTTTATATTGTGTATTGAGAGCACATTCACACATAGTTGCAAGCTGATTATATTATCTATACGATTAATATGAAATCAGTAAAATTACCTATGTGATGTGTGCTCGTATGCATGTGTAATATTCATGCTTAGATACAACACTATAAGTAATCATGTAGGTATGAGAACATATAGTGATGTTTTTTCTGATTAGAACATAATGAGAAATGATCATTTGATCATTGATTGATAGCAGAATAGATCGAGAACGTATTTTAATGATTGTTGAAAAAGCATTCTGAAAGTTTTGTGTATGCATATATGACCTGAACATGCAAATATTTTAAAGAATTTATTTACATTTACGTGTACAGCCTTAAACGTTTGTGTATATAAATTACATTTGAAATTAAATGAAAAAATTTGATGAGACGCACTAGTTGGGAAACAATATACATAGTTATTGTTCAAGATTGCTCATTCAATTTCTCTTTTTCTCGTTTATCATTTTCCCATACATGTGTTTTTAATTCAATTGAGATGAATTTTCTTATAAACTGCGTTCATATGAATAATATAATAATGTGTATTTGTTAGTGATCAAAACAAAGAAGTTATGGTCGAAGATTTGAAAGGTACGGTAATCGTTTATTCGATAGTGGGATGTGAACGATGTGAAGAGGCAAAGCAACATTTATCAATGCTTCGAATACCCTATACGGATATCTCGTTGGATAGCTTTCCGCAGGTATGATGAGAAGTCAGACACTCATATGTAATCCTGAAAGAATCTTCAGTGCTGTTGTTAATCAGAGAGGTAGCGATAATAGGAACGTCAAAATTGTTTCTCGATTTCATGAGCTTATCAGCATCAGGTTGTTACGGCGAAGTAGTTGTCAACAGTTTTCAATTAGATACCTACCACTCCAGCTACTCGTCATGATGAGGTGGTCTCTTTGAAGTGAAGTTATATTCAAATTCAAACTTATTTCTGACTGGAAGTCTCGACACTTTTTAGGGCAGGGATGATTAGTAAATTACAATTTGATGGATTTTTAGTGTCGAAGCGAAATGGAACGTTTTTGTGGAGTAACAGCTGATGTACCGCAAATATTCTTCAATAATATTCTTGTTGGTGATGAAAATGATTTGAAGGAAGTTGTAAGTTATTGAAATGAGATGATCAAATAAAATTCAAAATGACAGTTTGATTATTTGCTTAATTTGTTCATTGTTTCATCATTAACAATGGTGATAATTATTAGCTTTTATCATGGCAATAATATATATGGATAAAAATAGGTATAGGTGAGGGATGTGTCAAGATTCGATAAGTTGATGGAAATGATTCGTAACGAAGAATCACCGCCAGATGCACCACCGATTCCACCACCAGACACAGCCATTGATTATTGCTCGGATGCTGAAAATGAAGAGACCGAGAAGAACGCTGCGGATGATTCGAATGGTTATTTTGTTCAGTTGTTTCGTGCCATTTTTAAATCTTGTACGACGAACGGTACTGAGAGGATTGACGCCAACTTGATATAACAGCTACAGACCTGAGATTTTGTGAGAGCCTTCTTCCCCTGATCTCAACTAGAAAAGAAGTGAAAAATTTTCTTTTCCGATCATGCGCGCGACTCAGAGCATTTAATAGCATCCGAGGTGATCAGGGCCTCTCGGGCCTGGCTGCAAGTGTTTTGATGCGTTATTAAGCCTGGAAAACAATAAGATTAGTAACTTTATATGAATTTCGACTTGTTTTAAACTACTTGAAGATACATCAGAACAGTGAACCGTAACAAGGTGTACCAATCAAGTGATTATTGTATCATGAACTGTAAGACATAATTTCATTATCGTCATTCACATGGAACTGCAAACTGGGTTCGAAAAAAGAAAACAACAACGACCAGATCTGAAAGTAGGGTGTTCATTGGGAAATAGAGTTGCATCCTTTAGTTGTTTCTTGAGGGAATTCCTCACAAACAGTCTTTGACAGTTTTGAGACCTTACTGCGATAACTTGCCCTCGATGCGCTGTTTCATCTCTTACTGATGGCCTTTCGCCTCTCCCTAATGATATTGAATATGACGTTTTTTGGTGGACTCGAATCTCTAACAGCTATCAGCACTGAATTACTTGAGTAACTATCTCTCCGCCATCCTTGCAGAAGAACGAATAAATAATAATAGGTAAAATGAAAACAATATTAATAAATGATAATAAATAATAATAAGAATAACTAATAACAGTTAAAACAATAATAATAAATAATAACATTGATAAATAATAATAATTAAGATATAGTAATAACAATAATAATAAATAATAACAGCAATAATATAACAATGGTAATTTCACTCACTGCAGTCTTCACTTTGAACCTTTTAAGGAACAGCCAAAATCTGTTGAAAACTGTTCTATTCCTCTCCAAAAACGGCCATATTCTATTCTATTCTGTGCATTCCTCGTTTGAGAACTTTCCTTGGAATAGAACAAGAATAGAACGATTTAGCTGGAATAGAGCAACAATCAAAAACTCATGCAGATCTTACGAATACTTGATTCCTAGATGGTTAGTCGTTCCACTACTTTCCGGTGCAAGGCCACCGGAAAGCCTGATGGTAGAATGATGCTTCCGTTTATTTTCACTCTCACCTGTATAATAACATTGACAAATACCAGCTTGTGTTAAAATTTCATTAAAAACCCTCATATTACGAGTAAACAGATAATCAAATGCTTAGAGGCAGGCCTAAGAAGTCCGGTTCGTCTCCGATGTCGTTAGAAAATTTGAGTCATGCGGGGTTAAGCACTTATTCTACGAATGCGGTCACTCACTTATCATTCACCATCGTGATCGGTCAATCTGACTAAAGACATTTAACCTAACGACAGTTTGCCTAAAGACACATTGCCTAACGGACAGTTTGTCGAACGGACGATTTACCTAACTTACGATTTTTTAATGGATAGTTCGCCTAATAGGCAAACTGTCCGTAAGGCAAAATGTCCGTTAGGCAATGTGTCTTTAGGCAAACTGTCGTTAGGCTAAATGTCTTTAGGCAGATTGACCGGGTACCATTCACCATAAGCACGCTCGATGAATATTGCTCATTGAAGAAGGAGAACGTTCGGATGATGCCATTTTATGTGTTCCAAATGAGTATTCACGATTGATGACAAGCATGAAAAAAGCGAGTATCATCAAAGATAATCGTGTTGGCTCCACCATCTATCGTAATTCATTCAAAGGCGAACATTTTATCAACTGGATCATGCAACAACGACAAATCAGTTAGATGATTGATTGATTAATTAATTGATTGACTGATCGAATTGTTGATTTGATCCATGATCATTTGCAGAACTAAAAGATGCACTGGAAATCGGACAAGAATTAATCGAGCGACAATTCGGTCGTCAAATGTCCAAAGAGAGCGGTGATCATTTCAGTCCCGAACGGTACGTATGATCGATGTGATGGATTTGTCTATACATATACAGAAATAATCATAAAAACTTCTCAATTAGCTATTTTCGACTGTGTGCATATTCAGTTATTGCTAACTAGGAGTAACGCAGAAAGATAAGAACCAATGATGCCTCATTTTTTTAAAAGTGGCCGAGCTGCGATCCCAACTCCGCACTTAAAAATTTTTTGGCTCTTTCGGCGCCGGCTCTAGCTCCGATCCTGCATTTTCAAAATCTTGATTCCAGCTCAGAATTCGCCATTTTTAAACTTTGGCTCCGAGTCCAGTTCCAACTCCAAAATTTTCTTTATCCCGTTCCGGCTTTGGCTCTTGGAAAAAAAGCTTAACTGCGGCTATTGAATATTGCTGTGATTTTTTCTTTGAGGGAATCAAAAACAATTTTTTGGCTCCGAAACTTAAGCATCACTGATGAGAACACTTCAGTTGGTTGTCATGTACAAACTATTTTATTGCTTGATTATCTTATCAAATTCGATCAATCATAATTTTACAGTTATTATCAACTCCGAAGTGGTGATGAGTCGATCGCACTTAATTCAGGTTCTCTAACGAACTCATCGATGACTGAAACTGCGACGATTAGCGTTAAAGAAATGAATGATCTATTGCTAACGAGCCTCGAATCGTTTTATGAGCAAATTCTAACGGATGATCGAAAAGTGTGTAATTGAATGAGATGCAACATTTCATTACAGCATTAACGCGACTGTGCTATTGAATTGATTGCATGATCAGTCAGCGTTGATTTGTTTCAATAGGGATCCTTACATTTGTCCATCTATCCATCCATCTGCGTTTTGTTCGACTATTCGATGAAAATGAAAGAATTGCAGCTGATCAAGTACAATGATGTGGATGAGAATGAATGTTTCAACAATTATTTAACGATTTGCCAAAAGTTTCATCGATTAAATCTTCACGAAGCGAATCGTTTTGAGAAAATTGCTATTTTTGTGAATATTTGCAATATTATGCTTATACACATTTTCGTGAAATACGGTCCACCAAACGATGTTTGGCAACGAAGAAAGGCACGTTGATTAACTGCATTTTTTAAGTAGCGGTTTTGTATATATTAGCGTTAGTACAGTAGTTTTGGTGAATTTTTAAACGATTCATTCACACTGTTAAATGGTTATTGTTGATAATTTTTGTGGTTTTATAGAAAGTCAATGATCTATTGAACTGCTGTTATGATTGTAATTGATGATTATTACTGTTTTGCTTTGTTATTTCAGTATTTGAATAGCACTTATTATGTGATTGGTGGGGAACTGTATTCACTACAGTCAATTTTAAATGGTATTTTACGAGCGAATCGCCGTGGTTTTCATATGCTTTGGGAGCCATTTGGTGAACACGATCGACGATTACATGTAAGAAAAACACACGCGTAACATTCATATTTATTGTAGTAGCTCTTTATTTATTCATTTGCTCGGTTGTACTTATTAATTCTGGAATACGTTTTTATTGATTGAATTAATTTATCGACCAATAGAAATACATTTCGTTCAACTCAGTTGGCGCTTGACGAACCAGAGCCGTTGGTTCATTTTGCAGTAAATTGTGGCACGAAATCTGGTCCTCCAATTCGGTTGTACACAACTGAGGTTGGTCTTTGAATAATTATGACTACTATTGTTGTCGTCATCGTTACTACAGTTATTGTTATTGTTATGATAACTGTGATGATTAATATCCACCAACCAGCTGTGAATATTTTTTTTTTGTCACAATAGAACGGTTTTTGTTGTTGGATTTAAGTGGAATGCGTAAAAATGCATATGAATCGGTCGATTAAGAAGTGAAATTTAAATGGAACTTTTCATGCAGCATGTTATCGACGAAATGCATGAATCTGCAAGGGAATTTCTACTGCGAGATGAAAACCTGCGAATTGACGTCAAAAAATCAGTAGTTTTTCTGCCATCTTTTTTTAATTGGTACGCTGATGATTTCGGTCGTTCAAAACAAAAGGTATTGTTTGTTATTTAGGACAAATTGTTTTTTCACTGATTTGATTGGATTTTAATGGATTTACTTTGAGATTGTTGAATGGGTTATTGATGTGTTGGGCGCTGGTGAGAAACGAGCGAATTTAATGAAAATTTGTCGTTCAAAAACATTCTCAATTGATTATTTGCATTATGATTGGACGCATAACATTATTTAACAACATTTGACAAAAACAACGACAGTATTGTTGCGTAAAGTAAGTTTCCATCTGACAACCTCGGCGGCGATACTCCTGAAAGAAAAGGGTATTCGTGATTACGGTGAATGTATAAAGTTTTGTATTTTTTCTTACTAATTCTGTTTTGAGTGATTGTTTTCATTCAGCATTGTTGGTAAAGATTATTGTGAGCTGTTTTGCATTTTCGTACTGCTTATTAATTCTGTTCTGAGTAGAGCTATTGAATTGCCATGAAAGCTCTCTTTCAATAACAAAGAACGCTTTCCGACAAGCGTTAACAAAAGGAAACTTTCATGTCAAATATGAATATGTGATCAGAGTACTTATTATTATGATGTATTTTACAAATTCTTTTTCCATGCGTTGTTATCCTTTACTGATAGTGGTATCCTTCTCCCCCTCATCATCGTCATTTATGTGAACTGTTCTCTTCAGAATCATTGTAATTATCTTGTTCAGCTAAAAGCCGACACTTTTCAGCAATACTCGACTGCATATATATCGCCATTTATCATTACTGACAAGTTGACCCATGATTAGTTATGTCACGATAAAATATGTATACCCCAAGTGTTTCTAATTTGAAGCGCTAATGAATTTAAAAGCGAGCAAGCTCAGTGTTGGGTATAACTAACGAGGGTTTAACCTATGTGTTTATAGGTGAAAATTGCTCGATTCGATTGCAACAATGACTTCTCACTTCTAATTTAATTCGTTAAGTTCTAAGAAAGTTAGTAAATACGTAAAATTGCTGTTGTATGAAAATGTCAAAAGTGAGTAAATCTTGATTTGGATTACAATAGAATTCCGGCTAGAAATTATTGAACGCATTTTCGATTGTTTCCTCGATTTCTAACTAACACTGTTGTGACTATGACTGATGGATGTTTTACTTTATTTACTTAATCAGCAACTACGACTCACCACGAGTTTATCGAAACACTCTCCGATGCTATAAAAGGCTTTGAGTGGCGTGCATAATACAAAAAGAATTTTTTCCTTCTTTATTTTTAGGTTAGATCAGAAAATGAACAAAATCTCGGGTATGCGTCTGTATCATTCATAAAGTTATGGAAGATTGAAAATTGAGGCCGGGCATCTCAGGCCCGTTCGTCGTTCGAGGATTAAACAGGACTTACTAACACACGCAAATATATAGATATATACATATAGGTATAAAAGTTCTAAGAACGGCATTTTTGCAAACTGATCGCATATCAACATGAAATTAAAAACTCTTCAGTGAGAGATTTTCAAAATGGAGCACCTAAAATGCAAAGTTTGATATGAAAAGAAAACACAAAAATAGATCTGCTTTAGTGAGTGAATTGAATTGAATTGAAAGCATATATGTGTACAGACAGGTACATAAATACATAAATAGCACATAGTGAATAGATTCGCCAATCAGTCGTAATAAACGGTGCACGATGGACAGATACTGTGGTTGCATGTATTTATAAATTAACGAATATAACAGCATTGCAAAGAGGAATAAGATTAATTGCTTGATTCACTAATGAATTTTTAAGTGACTGATAAGGTCAATTAATTGATTAATATTGGCAGATACATTACAAGGTAAGAGCAATTATGGACTGTTTGAAGGAGGAAATGCATTGGTGTTGTCATCATTATTATCATTGAAAGTGATATTATTATTGTTATGATTTTTGCTGATATTATTCGTATTATTATCGTTTTTACTGCTACTGCTATTATGACTCTTTGCAGAGTACATTGAAGTAATTCCGTTATTAGCAGTTGTAAAAAGTAATCGTTGATTATTAGTATTATTCGAAGTGTTACTTTCATTATGGAACAGTTCACGAGCGCGGTCGAGACTTGCATCTATATCAGAATCATGCAATAGGCGATTATTAGCACATGACGACGTTGTTGTAGCTGTCAGCGGTTGCTGATTAGTAACGTTGTGAGTGCTGTTCGAATTTGGTATATCCTCCAATAAAATATCTCGTTTGTGCCGTCGTTTATCATAGAACCTATAAAGAAACCAACTTGTTACACTTCACATATATCAATCATAATGAAGAACTACTGACTAGCTGTGAGTGGCTACAGAAACTAAAAGTTTTCAGAAGAATACAATTAGCAAGCAATGATTAATGAAAACGCCAGTGGTTGATTATTGCAGGAAGTATGAATTTTGAATACATTTGAAAGGAATGTATTGACGGATATTTAATGCTGATGTGATCATTCATAATGAAATACATACGGACATATTGTAGATTTCGTGGGATTTTTAAACGATTTAAAACAGTTTACTTGTGCAGAATGGAACTCAATTTGAAGATCGAGAAAACTGAGAGGAGATGAAATGAAGCAGAGTATATTGAATTAAGTGAGACATATTGACGTTTCTGTTTGCAAACAATGTTGAGAATTATTCGAAATAGTGGAAACATAAATACTTGAACGAATCGAAACAAAACGACCGATCAGTGATCAATCTCCTTATCGGTTAGTGAGATGAAGAATAATCATTTATTTGTTTTTCACAAAGATACTCATTCTTTTTGTTGTTATTGTTGCTGCTCAATGTTTCGCGAATCGTCTTTAATTTTCTACATTAAGTTACTATTATCAGTATTATTATTGCTAGCGAAGGCATCAACCATCACATATTCAAGTTCAAATCTAGTGGTTATGTGAAACAATAAGAAATCTGATGATAAAATGAAATGAAGATGACAAAAATGACAATAATAATATAGTGACAATGATGACGATAATTAGACAATCAAATTAATCATTTATTACTGTTGTTTTGATGATTACTATAACGGCAAATATAATAGAAAGCAAACAGTGATATCAATAGTGTACAATGATGATATGGGAGTGATGAACATCGGTAGATTGAATAGAATATGGAATGGAAAGGATTTGTAAAGAGGAAAAGAAAAAGAATCAAGAAATGATAATGATCTTATTCGTTCAATTATTATGGTTAAACGAGGCGCGTTCGACTGAATGAATGAGATGGAACAGATTAATTTTTTTCGTGGAATAACTTAGTTTTTGCATGTGTTGAATTAATAATTTAGTTAAATTGCTGGGAATGAATGAGTTGAAAGAGTAAAAATTTGTTGTTTTCAGTAGAACATTCGGATGGCAGATGAGGGAACTTAATCAAGGAAATTACACTGACTAGCATTAAAAATGATACTGCTAGTGATATTGTACATGGAAATAGTCAATATAAGATTGAAAAGTGAAGGAAGATAATATAAGTCCCGTTTGAAATATTGCACGTAAAATGATTTGGTGCAGTAATAATAATTGTAACAATAAGAATATTAACAGTGATAATAATAATAACAACAATAATAATAATAATAACAGTGAAGTGAATATGCATTTGATATGATATGATAAATAGATATTTTAGAAAATAAGCCGTGAGATGATGTTAGTATAAAGTAATATTTATATGGTAGGTATCTGAAATGATAGGAACTTTCACGTGCTGATGATAGTTTCCATGGGAATATTATTTCCTTCATAGGTCACTGTTGTTGTACTGACATTGTTATCACTGGTATTATTATGAGAATGACGATAACCATTCCTTTTATTTCGATTTAGAAATGTGAACCTTTGTAAAATTCCTCTAAGAATACTGCCCGGTAAACATTGGTGTTGTCTTATCAGATCAGATACTTCGTATTTCACTTTTCTTTTTACGTCCTCTGGTACGCTACCCGACATAAAGTTTATCGGCTTGCCAAGATGTGTTCTGAAATGATATTCATTTTTATATTGATTATTTCGAAAGGTGTCGAGTCGTGCAGTGAAATTTGAATGAATGAAATAGAATACGTATTGAAATTTTGACAATTTTCAGAGTTGTTGAGTCGTGCAGTGAAACAGGAAAAAAAACAAATCCAGCGAAATTTATTTCAGAGATGAAATTTTGTTCTCATAAAATTAAAATTTGCAATTTTTTCTTTCTTTTTCTTCTTCTCGTTGTGTAAACGTAGCAAGAGTATGGATCTGTTTATATGTACACAAAATTCTACTGCTTGTGAAAATTAATTAATATTTTTTTGGTGTATTGTACAAATAAACGAACATCATTTTGACCGGAAAACCGCCATATACAGGACACAACGGCAATTTGGATTTCTCATAGATCCACCGAAACACTTCTAAACGTTTTTTGCATTTTAAATGCATTAATAAGGAGATACAAATGTATGTATTTATATGAACTTTTAATTGTATAGACTTATTGTTCATAAATATTAATGGACAAACGAAGAAACATTTCATAGATCAGTTTTGTTATGTGGAATATTTTTTGTGTAATCGTATCGATTCGGTAGTTAAGCGTGGCTTTATGCAACAGCAGCAGCAGCAGCAGCAGCAGCAGCAGCAGCAGCAGCAGCAGCAAAATATGAATCGAACAACATTAGGATTCTGTTTCACTTTGAGTAATTGTTGGAGGTAAAGAAAAGTGGTCACTTGAAAAGGGATAACGAATAAATAATTCTACATCAGTCATTCACTCAACAAGAACAAACTACGAGACTAACTTCTACCCCATTGCGGTGTTCTGAATGCGTCTCGACAATTCTCTGTGAACATCGGTATAACAGGCTAAAATAAATTGAATGAATGAAACAATTAGTGTTGATTTATGAGTGAATAAATGAATAAATCGTCCTTCAAATTATAGCACATTAAATAATAATGTTCATTTGATCAGTGATAGTTTCCGTCGTTTCAATTCAAATATACTGTACTGTAATATACTGTAATAATATTATAATAACCGTTTGTGAACCGATCACAACCCTTGCAAAACCCAATCGTTTTCCCCACATAATATTGTAACGTGATGGATCTGAGAATAATGCTTCACGAACACCTCCAGGCGATATGCACAATAAATGACCATCCTTTAACCGCGCTATGCAATCTTCAACCGTGCCCGGCGTTATACAAAACACCTTACAGATCAAGCCCCATCCTTAATTTCAACCGTTATTATTACAACTGTTATCATCATTAATAATGTAACAAATAATATTTTTGAGGATGATAATAACATGATAATAAAAATAATTGCTATAATAATGACAATAATAGAGAAGAGGCGGCAATAAGATATGATGAGCATCGAACCAGGTATTTTGAAAATGAATTTATCGCCGACACAATGCAATGTTCGCTTCTTGTGAAGCATACATTTGGCGATCACATAATAAACATCCAGTGGTAATGTGCCATGATAGTACAAAAACAGCGCTGGACCACTGTCGGGCACATTTTCAAGACCTCTTATCTCATAACCTTAATCAATTAACTGATCAATTAATCGACTGCCACATCGCATTTAAACTATAACCGCAACTCACCATGCCAAACATAGCCTACCGCGTCCCAAAATGACGCTATACTTATTCGAGCACCATCCCATAAACTGCTCGCGTATGCTTCTCGAATTCGATGCCGAAGACCGTAAATATGCAAGAATATAACACAACCGTAGATGAACAACACTAGAAAGACTGGCAGCAGAAATGCGACAAATATAGGTAAGAACAACCATACCAAATACTGAAATATATGGTTATTACTCGATGTGATCAGTTCAGTTCAAAACAGATCATATGATTTATTTATGTTTTACTTACTTCTAGGTAGTCCCAATCAACATAGTCAATGGCCCATGAGATCCATAACAATAATACTTCAATATAGGGTTGTAACCAGGTTGGCCATTGCATTCCGCTGAGCTGTTTTAAGATGTCTTCTAAGAACATTCGCTGAAATACGCTCATTTTGTCCATCCATATTTTTTGCATCATTTCTTTTTATTGTTGTTACTTCAGAACTGACTAGTGAACAAAACAACGAACAGAAGAAGAGAAAAGATACATTGCTATAGCAAATGCAGCGTTGTTGAATTGACGTTTCGGCTCTCTCTTAAAAAAAAGCAACTGAATAAAATCACTTTATTCTGATCGTTCATTTACAACAAGATCTCTTTCATATCTCTATTTGATATTGTGTACTTTTGGAGAGATTTATGATGCATTATTTGCATGTGAGGAAGATATAAAATACGAACCACTTATAAAATAAATAAGTGGATTATGATATAGGTAGGCTGATAGATAAATAACAGCTTTCATCGCTTAGGTTGAACTAATAAATAATATCTATATACTTCTTTACACATACAGACGAATAAAACAATGAAAATGAAGAATTGATTGAACACAGACTGATGATTGCATTAAAACTATGGGCACAGTACATTGCTTATTATGGCATATATAGAGGGAATTCGTAAAGAAACGCTATAGGCTAAAGATTTGAGAATTCGAATCGCAATATTTAGTGATCAATTCATAAACATATAATATATTTAAATAAAATATATTGGAAATGTTGAGGGACGTTTTCTGAAGACAACAATACATATAGAAGTAGATACTTTTCAAATTAAACAGTTTACTCAAGAAAAAATGCATGCTATACTTTTCCAGAAAAATACATGAAAGAATGGAACAGACGAAAAAATCGGCGAACATCAGCGACAGGCAATAACACATATATATTGATAACAAATAAACAACAAAAATATGATGATTGTATTACAAATATGAGGTAATACCTGTAGCAGTTCCGAAGAGAAACAACAAGAACATACAACTATGCAGCACTCTGAGAAAACCAAAGGAAACGTATAAATGAATTTTTGTATATATATATATATATGCCTAGATTTACGTTTTCGATTCATTTACGAATGATCAAAGGATAACAGTCTATGACATTCAAACGAATTTAAGATACCTACTTATGTGTTTTTGCTAACTGCTGCTTTTAGTCCATAAACCATTATCGTAAATAACAACACGACACTGACGATTACTCTCGAGTTCGAGCTCAACTTGTGCCGTTTCGAAGTCATCTTTTGTTGATGAACGTATTGCTCGTACATCCATGAAACCGCTATCAACTTGTCCACAAACCGGAATACGTAACTGCAAATGCAAATTGCTATCATTGATACTACTGGCTTTTAAATAACATCTATCCTCCAATGTGTTATCAAAAAAAACATGCACAATGTTGCCGCAACATGTGTGTGCTTCAAAAGCAAAAGGTCGCATAAAGGAAGCCGAAACGAGGTAAAAATAAAATATCCATTAACAGCTTATCTGTTTATTTGCTAATCTGTATGCAACAAATGCGATGAGCAAGAAGGATTTAAACAAACCTCAGAGATCAAATCACCGACGTAATTTCTCCGACGGTCTGCCAAGTCGACACTCCCAATGACGATCGGTGGTCCAAGCACACTTTTCGCTTGTTCATGTTCAGCAACAATTTCCAGTGCCTTCCTGAGAATCATTCATAGAACTGGCTGCTTGATTATTTTTTCACGGATTATTTTTATCCTTCACAATTATTTGAATTTATTATCCTGAAGTGAAATATATCTTTTGGAGTTATTCAAATTTGCTGTTTTTAACATTTGACTCATATATACTGTTATTTCATTACATTCATTCTTGGTTCATAGTGATATTTTTTTGAGTTAGAGTTACCAGTGCTTCCTTCTTATGCTGTTTAACATTGCAAAACTGAACCTCATTTTACCTAACGTGCAACCTTTGAGGTTGAAGTTTCTGATATGATTAATATATACGAAAGAAATTTGTTGGTGTCGCTTAGGCTAGGTGGATGGATGGATGTGACACTGGAGTTATTATATAATCCGTCGATTGACAGCTGGAAGAAAATTTGCAAGTACCTAAGAAAAACGCTTCGGAAAACTGCGACTGGGGATATTTGATTTGGTGAATTTTGTTTCAGCCATTTTCTTCTAGCTCAAGTTTGCCGAATGAGTTTCACATGAAGCTGTTGAATAATCGAAGAGAGTTGATTTGATTGTTCACTATCATGAGACGAAGTATTTGAATGGATGATTCGTTTTATTAATACTTGCCTATAATGCGGCAGTGCACGAACTCGTCGTTGCACGCTTTTTTGTGCTAAATAAATACAAGTTGAGCCAACGAGCAGCGTACCACCAGCTATCTGTAGTAGTGTTGAGGTGTTTATTCGACTCAGAACACCACCTCCACTCATTCCTTCTCAGTTGTGCTTAGCTAACAACTGCCTTCAGTTTGAGTCAGATTCGCTTATCAACGCTTCGAGAACTGGAACTGAAGTAATTTATGGAACATTTGAACACCACCACCACAGTAACACCTGTCTCATTATTAAAAATACGGCACCGAAAACAATTGCGATTGTGTTTGTCGTTTACATTTATGACCAGCGCTTGTTGTTCATGAATGGCACTAGATTCGAGAGAGGAAAGCATGAGCTAGAACGTAAGTGGATGGAAACAGATCAGATTCTGCAGCGACGTTTGATGTTGAAGTTATTGGTGCTGTTAGGGCTACGTCTAAATAAGATAAGATTCATAGAGATGGATGGATGTCTTCGTTCGTTGATTCATCACTGAACTGCTCGCTTTCGTATCAAAAAATACCCCCCGTTACCTGCTTGAACTGGCACCATACCCAACCGTAAAAATCGATCATCAACATCTTCTGACCATCAAAAACCCAAATAAAGGAATCGCACCAGATGGAAAGCATACGTTCGTGAGTCTACTGGATTGCCACAATTTTCTTGTTACCCTTCATCTAGTATCGATTGTCTACGAAATCGCTCGTTCATTATAAAGCATCCAATCTGAATAGTGATAGATATCGCTTGTAGTGAACCGCTCTCGAATGAAAAGATGAATGTGAAAAATAATTCGTTCATAGTTTGAATTGATGCTTGAAAGTAGAAACGAACTTGAGCTTCTGCTATAACCTGAGTGGGATAACCCTACCAATTGGGGTATCCAGCCCCGTATTCGGAGTGCCCTTCATCCTGAAGACTCCTGTCTTTCTCAGAGAATTTTTCTTCCTCACAGAAAGTCTCTTTCCTTTTACCGATCCTTGATCCCCCTTCCCCCTCTGGAAAGCTTCTCTTCCAGGGTGTTTTTGCTGCTGTCAAAACTGCTTTATTACTCTGAATCCTGTTCTGTAGTGACGACAGGAAGGAGACATGTTTGCCCAGGAAAATTGACTCTCACAAGTTATGACTGAACAAGATTCAACAAAAGAGCGATTTTACACACGGAATGCATTGCCATTATCTTTTTTTGGCATTTCCGTTCGCAAGACCGCATCGCGCGTTTGAGTTTCGTGTGTGGGGTAATTTTTGATTGTCACTTACTTCGGTAACTATTTTCACGTATGATTTTCGTATCGTTTCAAACGCAAGTTTAGAAGTCTGGAGAAGTGTGTGTTGAAAGTCGATGATATTACTCATGTAAACGTTCTACCATTATTCATCCCTTGTTCGTCTTAATATTTGATTGTTACTGAGCTTAGTGAAGTTCATAAGTTTTCAAGTTTTAAGTCTTATTTGAGCCATAACCCTTCGGCTAGTAGGCTATTCATATATGACAAGAATGAACAAGGAATGAATCATGGTTTAATTTTATTACTCCTACATACGTACCAGTATGTTTTTTTGTGAAACACTGATCGTATCTGTTACTTATACTTCTCTTTCAGCCAACAGTTATCATTAACATTAATATGAATTTTTAAGTTCGGATTCGAGACTCCAACAAATTAGTGATTAATTGCATTCTGATCGAATCGCGACTGTGGTATTATTTGAGCTGAATTGGTATTGATCGCTACAAGTGATTATTCCTTATGAGCCACCGGAATGATGCGATTTCAGAGGAGTTGAGCCGTTCACGTTTATTACGTGCGTCTAGTATGTTCTTTCTTCTGTGATCAATCTTTTCTCATTGTATTTACGTATTTGCTCATTCGATGATTTTATTATTGTAGACGTTTGAGTGAATGAACATTCGATCATGCCCGAAATTTTTTTAAGAGGTTGTTAAACGCGATAGATAATTTAATTATTGATAGGACATTAATAGAGGAGTGAAATTTTTATAATAACATTTCATATGAACGCCGTTGGCAATTGAATCGTTTTTCGATTTCAACGTATCTTTTTTGTGCTAAGCAGTTGAAGGAAATGAATTTCCAGACGATGTATCATGCTCATCTCCCATTATCATCAAGCAGCCAATTACGTTTTCTGGCAATAAACTTGTCCATCTGCCTCCGGAAGCGATCCGGGTGAGTATTGTTCATATGAAATTCGTCATTTCCATCTTTAAAAATCATTCGCCTCGCACTGATTAATATCAGTTGAAATAGCTCATTATCACTGATATATATTAAATTCTCCATCTCTCACCAAATTTTGAACTACATTTTTAGTTCTTCTCATTTTCCTTTTTGCGTGCATCGTCATCTGTTTTGCATATGTGACACACAACCAACTAATTACTTCAGCCTTCACATTAATGATTTACTTTGCTATCATTATATCTTACATTTCTTAGGTTACTATTTTGAATTGGTTTTTTTTTCTCCGTAGTTCGATTATCATTGTGCATAACGTGTCAAAGACTGAGAGTATATTGGAGAGATGAATTTTGATGAAAAAATTCATTAAATCGCATTACTATTGATGTAAGAATTCTTATCTTCAAATCTTTTTTAATACAACATTTCTGTTCAGTTATCATTTGCTCAATTGAATGCATTCGTCATTTGTTGTTTTGTTATTATATTTCATGTACTTTCATTTTAAATTCATTTGTTTGTTGCTATGGAAACGTTGCTTTCAGCAATTAGTGGATCTGTATGCAACGGAGAGTCAATTGTATCATGTCATTTGAAGTTTTATTATCAGTGAGCGACAGGTTCATTTCTTTCCAGAAAAGATAGCTTCCAAAAATACATGTGATACATTCCGTTCAAAAACGCATGGGATTCATCCATTTAAAAAAAATGGATTGTAGATGTAAACTGAGTTCAAGTGCACAGTTGAAGTTTGCTCAGTTTTTTTTTTTGCAAATGAGAATTATAGATATATAAATTGAGAAGTAAGCATGTTGAGAGAATATAATCTAGCAACAAGTAGAATATGCGAAGCGAATGTAAACAGTCAATCATGTTGATAATTTATTTAATCGCATTGAATGAATGAATGTGTAACATGAATGTGGTACTAATCCATGTGGGCAGTGTATGCAAATGAATAAATGCGAATGTGACAGAAATAAACGACACTGGATGTGAAGCAAGCAAAAAGTGCTCAAATATTACGATATACGTGTAGTTAAGATTCAGTGCAACAAAATGGATGCAAGTAATTGCATGATCACAGCAGTCGCCACCATATCACCCATACGGCCTGAATGTTGGCAGTTTGTTAGATTATTGAGTTATTTGGCAATTGTAAGCAAGGAAGTTTTGGTGGACAAACGTCCAAATAAATTACAATCAATCTAATAATAAGCTCAATTGCAAAAAAGCCTCAGTCAACGCCTAAACTTGTGGAAGCGATAGTTTTTGGAAGTTCTGTCCTTAAATCGCCTTAGTTCAACGTTCTCTTGATCTATTGCAATGGTCGTCACGCTGTTGCGCCCCATATTCCGTTTGGCTGTATGGCAGATCGCCATTCCTCCATTCACAGTCTACATGACCACAAGTCCTCTAAAAATCTCTGACTTTTAGAAATGAGTCAGAAGAAAATCAGAAATCTGGTCAAGGCGTATGGTGCCAAGAATGCGTCAGTTGTGTCCATGGAACCAATTCGTTTTGATGAAGTAAAAATTTGAACGGCTGAACTTGAAGAAGAATCTCAAAAAATAAATCAACAACCTGATTTTCCAACTTCCTCAAATCCACCCCTGTGGCCTTCAATTTCACGCAGTGGGATTCCTGTCCTATGAGAAATATTGGTCTATTGCTTCGTTGAAAGCGTTCATTGCATTCTGTTATGCTCGATGGCTGTACCGCTATCGCTAGTGATGAGAATGCAATTGAAGTTTCATCACATCAGTAAATTTGGGAAGGAAGTGTTGAAATATTGATGAATGATTTTTAATTGTGAGTGATTGTTCATATTCATTCATCTCTTCGTCAATGGTATTGTCGTACTTATGAGTTATGTGTGTATGTGTTTGGGTGCGTATTAATTGAATTTTTTTTTGATGAAATTATTGCTGCTAGAATTTTAAATTCAGTAATAGTTATAACAACAATAATCGTTTGACTCTTACGATTTTGTTGCTTGCGATCAGTTTGTTGCTGATTTGTTGTTGGGCTTTGATTTCATCCTATAACTGGAGAATAAGAATAGAATCAACAAGAAAATTGGTCGGTTTTCCGTTTAGGTGCAAAAACGAACATCGAACGTGAATGGGCTGTTTTTATATAGTAACAAGGGAAGGAAAGTTGGTTGACGAGAAAATGACATAGTGCGATGGACAGAGGAAAAAGGGTGGTATGGTTTGTGTTGATTGAATTTGTGTTGATTGAATTAATGGCTTGCTTGTTGTCGTTTTTGTTGGGTTATTGTTGTTAACGATGATGCTGGATTATGGTGATAATCTTTGGTCGATGATGTCACTAGTGACAGAGCGCATTCGCTAAACCAGCTGGTTGGCTGGATAAGTGGATGGAGGGTGAGTGGAATGAGTATAGTTTGCATCGATCGATGGAACGCAAACCGGCAGCATTCTTATTCAAGCCGTTCATTATTCCATTTCGCTTGCTTTCTTCGTTTTATCTAGGTATGTCGGTCGATAAATGCTCGTTGTACTGCAGGCAATGTGTATGTACCTATAACAGGCTGATTGTGTCTGTTTTTGTATTGTAGATATAATATTATTCAGTCATGTTGCATAACTGATTTCAGTTGATGCAATGCAAAGTAGAAACATATGTAGGTAGGCAGATTTGTGTATGTGGTTTCTTCAGTTCAGTTGGACGACTTCTTTTTTTTCACAGTTCGTTGAAAAGTATCGATAGTTGGATTGGAAAGGTTATTGGATGAAAGTGTCCGAAACATGAGCATAAATGTGAGAGGAAGATAGAAACTGGTGGTACATCTCATCCCTGGAGGTGCTACAGAGGCCAAGCATCAGACTGAGCGTAGGTATGAACCCAATGTAAGGGTTAAGCTGAACATAGTCCAGTTCG